TTCCCTGCGCCTAAATTAGGTACAACAAACAGGTACTGGTGGAGGATAACAGGTTCTTTTACATCATTTTTGGTACTTTCAGCAAAAGACCAACGAAGTATAGCTTGGCAAAGAGTGGCTCGAGCTCATCGCTGTGGAGAACCATGCCTAGTGATCGACTGCCGTTTTCTCCCTTTTCTTTCACCACGTGGTGCCGAACTCACCGCTGTTCAATTGAAGTATTTGATAAGCGAAAATCGTGATAGCAGGTGCGACTACATTGTTGTAAATAGTTACTTCCATAGTTTTATACATGCTCTTAAGAACACCATGGCAGCTGTATTTTACGAATTTTGACTGCTCCTCAGAGAGAATCAGACGAATGAAGGACAGGTAAGGTCTTGGTTTTTTTTTCTAAGTTCCACTGTACTAAGGGTGGAAGAACGAAAAATTTGGCGTAACAATTTGAAAAAAGTTGGGCTTGAAGGCGCTTGAAGGCGAATGGGCAGGACCCACATATCTCCAAGAGGGTCCTGCCCATTTAGGGAAGAACGGGCGTAGCTGTACAAGGGTAACATCTTCTTAATTTGAAAGCGCGCCGAAATAAAGCTGAAGGATAGTGTTGCCCGGGTGTAGGTCGTTTGAGACCCCGCTCGCGCTATCCTCGAAGTGCAACACTGGCGTCTGTACCGAAACCATGCAGCGAAGATGCATTTAGAAGTAGAGAGCAACTAGAAGTGAGACGGGAGGGGAGAGGGGGGGGGGAAGACGCGTTTGCCTATGGTTAGGTGTGTGGCTGGCCGTGCGGCAGGGCGGGCAAGCGCGGCGCCGAGGTATCACTAGGCTCTAGCTCCGTTCCTGTGCACTTTTGAGCGGAGAAAGTGGCACGCTATCACAGCTTTCAACCCACCTCGCACTTGGCCAGGGCCATGGCGGTGACCGTACAGTTTGCCTCTGGGGGACAACCTCATTCATTCCTGAGATGCGCCATGCTTTCTGCTCCCATTCGGGACCGTAGTGATGTTTCAAATACGATTTGTCTTATACAATGGCTTATGTGACCAGCCAACGTACAACTCAGTGTTTTTAACCTCCTGTAGAAGTCTGGTGCCCGAAGTACCGACTCCTTAGAGATGAAAGGATTTGTTGGCTCGGCCGAGAGATTCGACGAGATTTGAAATGCCTCGCCTCAATGCGCCCTCGCTTGGTGCATCCAAAAAAGGTGTTAATTAGAGCCATAGGCTTTATTTTTCCATCTGTGTTATGTACGGTATGAGACTTGGAATCTGTTTTCGTCTTTTTCGAACTAAATTTTAATCGAATATGCTACATACTGAGCATCAAGTCAGTAAAGTTCTTGCAGACACTTATCCGTTATCGATTCACCAGCAACGTGCAGTCCAATCGTTTCTCCTCAGAGTTTCACCGATCTATTCGCACGAGAACGAATTGTTTACCTTAGCCCGGATGCAGAAGAAGAAATCGAAGATGTCTATGAGAATGATGTTAGCCTTGAAATCCACTTTGTTCTGAGCTTCTCATGAGATTCTATGAGGTAATGTCCCCTATGATAAGGTTTTAGGTGTATATACTTGGTGGAATCGTTGATCGAGTTCCGGAAAAAGGAATACCCCGTCGAGCTTCGTTAGAAACTGCAACTGCCGAACAAGTTCGCTGTAAAAAGCTGCCTCTCGATAAATACGTGACGTACGTTGTTCCCGCTTGTTTGCTCGGTTGTCTACATACAACTTCATTTTCAGGTGGAAAAGTGGGTCGAAGTTCCTTACGTTGACCGCCGTTTCATCTATTCTTCGTGACGTGTACAGTTCAGGAGGAGACTGGGAAACTGCATTACGAAAGTGAGTTGACAGCTATAAACGGTTAAGTCCAAGGCTATGACAATGGAGGGAGCTGATTAAACCCTCTAGAATGCGCCCAGCATGGTTGACCTAGGTGAGACCAGAATTCACAGGCATGAAAGAGGTGTGTATACTGTTCAGATCACGTCGTACATAGGGGATCCCCGCGAGGTCGGTCTCATTTTGTCGCTGG